AAGAAGCGGCAGTCTTGTACACAACTACGCCAGCGGTAGATGATCGCGATGTGATCAATCTGAGTCCAGGCTTGAGATGCAGAGAGAGGACGCTAGGTGGCACATCGGCGATGACTGTGCCGAAAGTTAGTGCTAGCCAGAAACAGGTTGTGGTCTGTGCAAAGTTGCAGTAGACGGTCCCCGTTATCTGTCCTGCGACCAACAAGTCCCCATCGGCCACCTAAACGACTCTCTTCTGTGCCTAGACGCCCGACCTGAGCATTCAAGTCTCCGGCTAGTACTACAATATCTGTCGAACGCACTTTCTGGAGAAGAACAGATAACTAGTGGTAAAACTCATCCTTAATTGCATCCGGACTGCAATCTGTCGGGGCATAGGCGGAGATGACGAAAAGACATCGTCTCTCACGCCGATTTCTTCTCACTTTGATGGAACTTTCTAATCTAACAGCACATAACCGACTGTTAATGGGGATCCAATCGATTAGTACTGCCTCAGCTCTAGCGCTTAGTGCGACACCAACGCCAGCAAGACCAGACGAAGATGCCACAGGGTCCCCGGATAAACGCACGTAAAACAAGCTTTTTGAAGTGAGAGATGGAGTGCGAATTTGTAGTACTTCACCAGAGTCTTGAATACGGGTCTCTAATAGACAACAAACGTCGATATGAAGATTTTCCAGAGACATAGCCAGCCCTATCTGTTGTCTGACCTGTATGAGTATGCGAACGTTGAAGGCAGCCAGTTTGAATGGTGCACGTGGTTTCAAAAAAACTGCTTCAGTATTCGTATTTGGAGGTAACATACAATTTTCAACCTGGCAGTGACTCGAGAACATTTAGATAGAACCGAGTTTACACCATAAGCGAGCTGCAGTATAAGTCGAAAAATAAGGATACACAAAGTGGGAATAAAAGAGAGTGAATAAGTGACGTGGTAAATAATAATAATAATAATAATAATAATAATAATAATTGGAATTGTTTGACTGTAAATCGAAGCGTGAATAGAATGTTCAGTAGATATCGTCGTTATCATTTTATTTGTGTGTGGGCTGTGATACTAGCCGGGTGCCCAGACCGAAGCACGTGGTTTTCTTATGGGGCTACACCCTGAGCCTTTGACCTAAAGGTCTGATCCACAAGGCAATGGAGCGTCGTGAGGAGATGCGATCCCATGGTAGCCGGTGACCAACGACTGGTTCATACACCATTTGTTCCCACAGGATACTGGAGCCCATGTGCACCATTCGTTTGTAATCCGGTTAAAGCGCCGGACATTCGCTTTTCGTCCTCTCATTTTCATAGACAACACCTCCGCCACGAGAAGGCAGTGAGCAGGACTTCCCTGGCAGAGGCTGTATACGCGTGGCCGTGTGGGAGCATTTCGAGAGAGAGGGCGGGTCTACTCCACTCTCGGCCATACCAGGGCATTGGAGGCAGAGATCATTTACTGATTAATGTCATAAAAATTGATAGATATTTTAAAATTATTGCTCATAATCTAACAGTTTAGCTGCTTATATGCAGCAGGTTATATCTACCACACAAGGCGGACTTTTTCAAAACGCACTTCCGAATACTATTTTGTCTGGCTCTCCAAAGAATTACATAAGTCACTGAAAAGCTCAATCTTGGAGCATTTAGTCAATTCTGAACACTCTGCTTCACCAGAAGTCTCCTTCAAAATCACACATACAGTCAGGAGAGTTGGTTCAGTAAGAATGCAAATGAAAAACTTATGTACAGCAAAGGCTATGGCTATTCACCAGTTCAACCCTAACGTTTATGTACAAAAACAGGATGTTCAGTCCTTCATTGTTTTATGATCCCAACCTCTCTATCTTTCGTAATCTATAGTTCTTTTTAATTTCGTCATTTATACCATTTTTCAATTATTTTCACAGCTAATAATTAACGAATACCACAACTTTTAATTGGTCTGTAGAATAGCTATCAAGTGGACAATTATCTTCACCTTACCACTTTTCCAATGGCCAACTGTTACGTAACTCACGTTCAAAACCTGATTTTCAATTCCTGACAAAGTACCACTTCAATGAGTTTATAGGTATCAATGCCAAGGTTGGACTTGATAATTCCAAATAAGTTGAGCATTAAGTAGAAAGTTAGTAATCAACAAATTTTTGTTATATCCCAGAGTAAATTTACTCTGAAGAAGTGGCTTACATTAAGTCACGAAACGTCAGAAATATAATATTTCTACTCATTGGGATATAACAAGAATTTGTTTATTGTTATACCGCTTCAAATCTTTGAAATGATTAGTATCCTTCCATCTTGCAATAAAACACTATTTTAGCAAATAAAATCAACTATAAATACAACTATACAGCTTAATGAAATCGTCGTAGAGAAAATTTTCTACGATGTATTGCCTCCTTTCTTCTTCAATGACAATTTAACTACTAATAAGTAGTATACATTTTAGATTGGCAAGAATTCGTTTGCCAGATCAAGCATTCTGTTGTTGTTGGAGTCTTCAAAACCTTTTTCATCCAAGTCCCTAGAAGTCAGGAAAACCAAGGAAAGTTTTACCCAGTCAGCGTTGAATAGAATCTTTGCAGAAATACCTAAAAATAGTTGAATCACGTTCCATAGCTTTGATGGGATGTTGATCTATAATGCTACTATATTCCATGAATATTCGAAGCCAAAGGTCGCGTGTGGTTTTATAAATACCCACATTTTTAAGTACTTAAATTAACCTTAGAATAAAACTTTAACTTACAATTTGTTCCTTCTCTCTGGTGTTTCAGTTGTCGTGTAGAAGTAGCTGGGGATATCTCAACCTTCTAAAAAGACAGTTTAGGCGTGGCAATAGCGAAACTTATCATCCATGACTTAACAAGTATTTTTTTAAGTAACTAATAATGAAGGATTATTAAATTATACATTTTATGTTATGTAGTGTTGGAAGAAAAAACTAAAGATGTGTTAAACCGTTATACTTTTACAGGTAGTTTTCTTTAAGCATTCTAATTATGAAACGCATCATTTTATGAAGCCTAAGATTTATTCCAACGACTATAAAATTCATAATAAACAATTAATTGAAATAACGAGAGTATAAACTAACAATGAAAGGTTTATATGTAAGCCGTAAATTATTTTATCCGATTACTTCAGTTACAATATTTTTGAGCTAATAAGATTTTAACTAACTGAATGGTTGACAGTTTTGATATCAAATTCTCTTTCACTAACAAACATTCCATTCATTTTGATGCACACTAATGTAGGTCTCTAAACAAAGACGAAACAGATATCTAGTGTTCGGTGATTTTCAGTTACTCACTCACTAACTGATGACAGTTTATAGTGAAAACGATTTCCAATGAAGTTTAGTTTCAATAGTTGAAATCATGAGTCAATTGAATTTAGACCACCATAGAAAACCTGGAAGCACTGGACGGCCGTTTCGTTCTAGTATGGGATTGCTCAGCAGTACGCATTCACGATCCTGCCCCCCGCGAGATTCGAACCCAGGACCTATCTAAATTATATTATTATGTAGATTAACAAAAGATTAATTGATCTGCCTTTTAAGTCCATTTAAAGCACTAATAGTGCCAATAAAACTTTTCTGTTCAAGACTATTCATCTAGTTACTTTGAATAAATATAGAATTTGAAACTATAATAAATAAATGTAAATAGCTGAATAATAGAAAAGTTATATATATATATATATATATATATATATATATATATATATATATATATATATATATATATATATATATATATATATATATATATATATATATATATATATATATATATATACTTAAAGAACATAATATTTAGTCTAAACGACAATATAGGAGAGTTATGTTGCTAAACAGTTTTCATTACTTTTCTTACGAAATACTGATCCGTTTACGTAACTTATATTTTAATTTATTTTGTATTTTTTGTTTGAATCTCCCCATTGATGTTTAGGACTATAATTGATCAGTCTCTTATTAACATATGTAAATCTTGTGCGGAATGCCTCAATATTACCTTAAGTCACAAGCATTATAAGCAAAAATAGATGGTGGCTAGCAGTGGAATCGAGGACGCGCGTTTCGTCCTATTTGGCGCTTGTGATCAACTCTGAATGAATATTAAATCTGGGATGCAGGTAGATCCAGTTGACGACTCACAAATACGATGGAAGGCGAGTTCTGGATTCTACTGCTAGCCACCATCCATCTTTGCTTATAACTGATGTTTTGTTTACCAAAATAAATATTTGTATCTGAGATTGCAAATTATTTAAGTATGATAGAAATAGTTGACCATCTAGATTTTAGATAGTATTATCTGCCATTACAGAAAAGATTAGTTTTTGCAAAAACAAATGAATAATAATTAGATGAAAAACGCTTTCATTGCACTTAGATATGAAGGAAGAAAATTTTCTTCGGTCAATTCTCTCCAGGTTCTACAGTTATATACCTAAATTAATCATCCAAAAAGTATCCAGGTTTAGGATAAAGTATATCGTTTAAGGTTTTATTATGTGAATTGAAGATTGTTAAGTAAAATAAAATTTATTTCAGATGGATTTTGTGGATATTATAGTAATTTCAGTGGTTAAGATCATGAGTCAGTTGAAGCTAGACAACTATGGAAAACTTAAAAGCACTGGACAGCCGTTTCGTCATATTGTGGGACTCCTCAATGGTGGTCTAGTGGTTAGGTGCTCGCGCACGAAACCAGTAGGTCTTGGGTCCGAATCTCGCGGGGAGGTGGGGTCGTGGATGCGTATTGATGAGGAGTCCCACAATAGGACGAAACAGTCTCCCAGTGCTTCTGGGTTTTCCATGGTAGTCTAGCTTCGACTGACTCATCATCTTAACCATTAAAATTAAAATAAAATAATTAATTTTGAAATGACTAATATGTAAACCTGAGTGAGTTTATGCATTATATAAAGTTGTAAGATTAATGATCAAAATAATTATAGGAGATTACAATCAATCTGCATACCTCTATTCCATAAGTTGTTCGCATTTTCATTCTCAATCCTACTAATCCACACCATGGTAAACATGGATAACACGTTTTTTCATTCATTGCTTTTGTCAGTTGATTTAATAGACAGAAGTAACAACATACCGCAAAACAACCTGTAAATTTTTATTATTAAATATTACTATAAATATATATATTGTGTATATAAAGCGAGAAAGAATTAATATTATTTTGTAAAATTGAAGTACCGATTTTGGATAATAGAAATGAATCTAATATTACATGTTACTTAATAATCACAATCTAATCTTAACTGACTTTTAACACTTGCTAATAAAACATAGCTCCACATAGCTTTACATTATGTAGTTCTGTCGTGTGCCGTTCAGTGATTCAATCAGGATATTAATCATAGATCAACAGAAATGTCATGTATTTTATATTAATGATACATAATTGTTTAAATTTCTTGTTAAGCAACTATTGTGCATCGTGTAGGCGCAATCAATGAATAACGTATCACACTAATTACTTTATTAGTTGTAATAGGGATCGGAATAGAAGAAAATGTATCAGCAATTAAGCTACTCCATGTACGTGTTTACATAAACAAATTATGTAATCATGTTTAGATACATTGTTAATAAAAATGGCTTTCCATGAACTGACATATTAGTTTAATATTTACCGAGTTGTTTATATTGATTCATTCTAAATTAGACCTTAATGGAGTATGTGGCAAATGCTGAGAGTAAATTTGAAATGTCTCAGCCTTTGTGTTAACCAATTAGTACGTAAATCGTTAAAATCGGGAATATGTCTCTAAACAACTCAGTGAATATAGTATTACTGCTTGACTTATTAAATTTTTAGGGTTTGTATTAAGTTTTAATGGGTTTTCGATTACAAGCAATTAACCAGTCAAAAGACGATTACCTTCTGTTTGGGTCATTTAACAGGATATAAGTAGTTTTATCTAGGATTTCCTAAAGCATATTGTTATGTCCCGACAAGAATAATGAATGGTAACTTTTGGAATCTATTGATGGACCAATACTAAACGTATATTTCTATTGTATAGCTATTAAGTAACTAAGCTATGCATATTCATATTATTCTTATCATAAGCTTTATTTTGACCCATAAACTATTATTATACGTTTTACCATTCTTGAGTTATATCCAGCATATTAATTACTACCTCCCTCATTCACAGCCACATCTGGCTAATTCTTGTACAAATGTTATTTCATATTTTATGGTACGTTTTGGTCTGTTTGATTGGTATATAAACTCAATATGTTTGAAATATAATGATTCATATTGCAGAGGCTAAGACTGGTGTTCTGGACTTAACTGACTGGGCTAGGCGGAAAACAGGACCAATCAGAACTCTAGGCTGCTCGCACGTGTTTTAAGCGTCCTTGGTCTGATCGACAATTCACTGCCCTCTAATCGGCAGTCACAAGTTATATAACATATAATGTGTTTATTCACGAACTCCATAGAAAAGTAGATAATCTGAGATTATATTCTGAGACCCTCTGTCAATTAAATCTTTGATTCTTTCAAACAACTTACATCTAACAAAGATAGTTATTATTTAGTGAGCCAGTAATTATATTATTTGGTCATGAGTTAGTGGTTATCAAAAGTAAAAGAAACAGACTTTTATTACATTAAGGTTTGTATCATGTAATGAACCTACAAATAGAATATTGTTCATAAAACAATTAATAATCAGAATGGCTTTTGTGAAGACTTTAAAAATCTCACTGGCTGAAATCATGAGTCAATTGAAGCTAGACCCCCATGGAAAACCTGGAAGAACTGGACGGCCGTTTCGTCCTAGTGTGGGACTCCCCGGCAGTGTGCATCCACGATCCCGCCCCCCCGCGAGATTCGAACCCAGGACCTATCAGTCTCGCGCCAGGCGCTTAACCAACTAGACCAGAGTGATAGGTCCTGGGTTAGAATCTCGCGGGGGGCGGGATCGTGGATGCGCACTGCTGACTTCAGTTAATAATCGTTCAATTAACTAATACCTTTTGTAAATTATGCATAGATCATTATCAGAATTAGTCAATTATTATTATTTAGCGAATTAAATTATCAATTCATTTATAAAAATCACAGACGCAACAATTTGGTCATCTTATTTTTTTCAAAATTCCATTGATTTCACATCTTATAATAAGTGTAATAATGACTAATATTGCTGATGGATTTTTATCTATCAAAAGAAATCAGACCTGGCAGTCGAAACCCAACATGTTCAATGTTTACATCTCTAAATGTGACACTAGAGAATCTAGGTTTGAAATTTACAAGTGGATCAACTTCCTGTAAATTGAAAATATTCTTAACTGATAAATGTTGGCCGACTATTTCTAATTAATTGAAATAAAAACAAAGCTATTACCACTTTAGTCATGTATTAGGACTAGTGTAGAACGGTATAATTTTCTATTCTAACTCCCTGATTTAAATACACATGTGTCATGAGGTGTTTACATCCGATAGAATATAAATCTATTTTTATATTATTGCATCAGAAGCTAATCATCAGAATTAAAACATGAATGAAAATTTTAGTTAAACTAACCCCAATCCCTATTTTTACAACAATAACAAATCCCACTAGTCCATTGTCGATGAGGTGGAGGTACCAGAGTTAGATTACGTGGTGGTACTGATTTTCCAGGTTGATCAAGTATAGTTCCAACTTCTTTTTTAGATTGCATCTTTATTATATTCCAGAAGGACTATGTTTAATGTTCGATTAAACGTCTTTATTATGAAAACTGAAGAGAATCAATAATGCAAAAACTTATCGTTAGAAAATTTAGAAACAAACCTGCTATCACTCGATTTGGTAAATAATCTGAATGGGTTTGTTTTAGAATAGAATAAATAGACAATTATACAAACATAACACATAACTGTCGAGACAAAAAATGAGGGTGATTAAATGAGCAAGTTAATAAAGTTAGATCATTTGTAAAATATAACTGATAAAATTAATTGATTTGACAGAGAAATCACTTTGTAATTTTAACTAAACTTGTCAATGAATTAACTACAAGTTCATTATTGTAACTGGATTACAACACCATCAATTTATAAGATTATAAAGCTTATCATAGAAAGAAGAATCTAAAAAATGAGCACACCTACATTTTAATTGTAACTTAAATGGTTTAATCAATGTTACATTGTTGAAAATTAAATACAGAGAAGCATAAATCATAATTCACCATCGAAATATTTATACCATCATGAGATCATATTGAAATAAGACTAAATCGAAATTAATGTTTAGTAATTCAAAGTCATTATAGAGCAACCGGGAATATGCATTATATCGAACAGTTTAGACGATTGTATTCAAACCACTTCTTCTGTATAATGAAACTGATATAATTATAAATAAGAATATTGGTCAATAATTTCTGTGATCTATGTGAATTCAGTCTAATCTAGTGAGACGGAAATAGTCTCACCTTGCTTACGTTGAAGTTGCACATTGCACTTAGTACTTATCCTGTATTTTACTATCATGGTTGCCAAGTAAATTGACCTTCTACGTAGCTTGGGTAAACACACCAAATAGGCTACAAAATATACTAGTATTAACTCGTAAAAGAAGTAGACGTCGATTGTTCTTCACCTTGACGAGGATCAGTCGATTTCGAAGCTCAGTACCTTGCCTACTCAATGAATTACTAAGGCTCAATTACATTTCTTGGAACACTAAAAACCTGGACAACCTGTATATATTCAAGCAACCGGGAATATGCATTATATCGTAAAGTTTAGACGCTTGTATTCAAACCTCTTCTGTATGATGAACTTGATATAATTAACTACGCTAATTTCGTGAAATCAACACATATGTGGAAACACCGGAGTTCTCTTAAAAATATGATTCCTGGATTCTAGCTCTCAAGAATCATTTTATGGCTCCTCATCAATGACTAATCATTGTCTTTATATATATGTGGCTAATAGAAATATAATCGGAAAGTAGCCTGAACAAACAATTGAAGTTGACATACATTCACTTCGTCATTTCCAGAGTATAATCATCATAGTTAAAAAATTTGACATATAAAATGCACATTTTGTTGGGTTAACTTACATTTGTTGGAAAGCGATTTCATATATGAACTTCAGAGAGGCAAAAGTCACTTAATCCACTCAAATTCAGAATCTATGTTATGAATGATACTGAACGAAGGGATTCTCTGTTAGAATAAACTAGCGGAAAAGATCTTTTTAACTCTGGTTATGAAGCAAGTGAAAGTTAGTTTTAGTGATAAATAGTGGATGTCAGTATCTCAATGGAAAAATCTTCATGAGTTCGATACGCCTTAGATAGTGTCTACATTTAAATGGTCAATTAATGAAAATCCTCTCCTAATTTTGATTTAGAATGTAAGAAAACTATAGTGTTGTTTGTTCACAAAATAAAAGTATTCTGAAGTATAAGTATCATGAAGCGATTAGATTTATAACCAATATATTAGAATTAACGTTTACTGTGTATATTTTTGATCTTAGAATATCAGGAGTTTTCCGATAACCAAGGTACTGAGTTGAATCAATTCACAGATAGTTGTTGTGCATACATTTGAAGCAATCTAAATCATTATCCGTGTGTTTGAAATGCAAGTGTTCGTTAGTGAGGAATTAATAATTAAAACAGATGATTACGTGAGCGCGTAAGAAACACTAATTAGAAAATGACGATTGGTGATTATGGTAAACTGGTATCATATATCTTAATAAATACATATTTCATCGACTACAAATAGAACACATTGTTCCGAACAATAACCAAATTAATTACTGATATGGTTTTGTGGGAATTTTCGTGTAACCTGAACACCACGTCTCACTAAAAATTGATTTCATTGTTAACCAGAAAGTAATGAACAGTGGTTTCAATCCAATGCCACAAACATACACTCACGTTTCTATACCCACTGGAACATGGATGCTCAGAGTTCATAGCGAACAAGGCACTTCTGAGACGGACAACAGAATATGGATGGCATCAAATGATGATTATGACACATCAAAATCTAGTTGAAGTCGGAAATGTTGACCTTAGGATCTCAACTGTTTGCCTCAACGAGATAGTGAGACTTCACTGTAGACAGTCAGATTTTCTGTGTGGTCATGAGTGAGCACTAATTAAGAATGTCGGATCAGAACAAAGTATCTAGCCAGTCATTCATTTGGTGTCATTATGTTATAACAACTGTCTTCATATGAAATAAATTCCAACTAACCAAAAATTGATTGCCGAACCATGTGTTAGAATGATTTACATGGATAAGTATGACATACATAATTTTCCTTGAATTTTCAGTACTATGATATCGTTTTCAATTACTGAAGTAAATGTTAATCCCAAAATATTTACTTGTCATTTTGGTTGAGTTATTGACTGATAAAACACTGCAGCGACTGGTGAGAGATTGGCGAATTGATAGTGTTTTCTACAAGGTCAGGTTTTTACTTTCGACTACATAGATATACGTGGTCCTTGTATTAGAAAGTATGGGGAATGCTTTTTTTTAGTAAATTCGTGTCTGATGTGATTTCTTTGAATATTTAGTTGACTAAATGCAACTTGAATTCCATTGTCTACGAAGATTGCTAGTGACTTAATGATCATATGTAAAATTATTGAACACTTTTTTATTTTTACGGTTTTGTATTTTCTCGGTTTTAGCATTCAGAACTAAAGTTGACTGGTTAATAGTAACTTCATTCCTGATGAACAATTTAGTGGTTATCTGAACTCAATAGCTTAGCTGACGTTTGAAGTGAAAGATATTGATTACCGGTCTTAGTGTGAACACGAACTCTAACCCACGTTTATCTATCTGATGAGTCACGAAACACCGATTGTGCTTGACTATTGTTAGCCACAATCCCAAGATTTGCTGAACCATTTTTCTTCTTCTTCTTTACAAGACATTTCACGCCAAACAGGAGAGACTGTTTTTATTATACCTCATATTAATAATAAGTAGTTCGTTTCATAGTTCCCTTATAGCACAAATATTAAGCTTTACTAGGAGAAAGTGGTGTTTTGGTACATAGTTTCCTGAATGGCGTAATTTTGCAAATATTATTTGATTCGGTAGCAAGAGAATGCTGAAGATGACTTGGAACGCTGTATATATGAGACAAATATTCTTGGTCCACTAAAACCATGGTCAACTGGTATGTTTCAGAAAATACTAGTAAAAATAAATTTATTTGAGAAAATCGAACTTCTTATCCTAACAGCTGTTCAAAGTTTATATCCAACAGTAGATCATTTACAATCGAATTCTGAATTCTCCTTTAGCGTCCACGTCTTGGACTTCGCCTACTGTTTGGTCTCCTCTTGCCTATCAATGAAAGAAAATATTGTTTAGTAGGAATACTAGTAGATTTTGTACTGTGCGCAAACACAAAAAGTGGTAATGTTTTCTTGTATGCTGCTGAGTTAAAAGACACCAAGGATCTCTTAGTTCAAATGTGCACTGTGATTTAGATTTTGTCACGTTGATGACTGTTTTAGTTAACTTGCTAACTCTTGTTCACTAATTGTATCTATCCTGATTTGACACACTGGACAAACAATTTTTAATTAAATTTTTTTTAAAATACAACACGTCACAGTGAACTAACTTTCCCTCTTGTTTATATGCGTAGGACAGTTTCATAGTCAGACAATATCGTTATTTATGGTTTGGAGAACAGTGTCAAAAATATTAACATCACATATATAGTCGATGTTCAAGAATTTCTGAATAAAATAGGTGGTGAGTTATGTGACAGATTTTTAAAGGTAGATTACATAGACTTAACAAATCTAATAAATTCACACTTATTATTACGTACAAATCAGGTAAGAACCCGTACTTCATAACTTCTCATCTCTCAATTGCTGAAAATCTCAATTCATGTAGTATACTTATTAAACTTGATATTGTGAGGAAAAGATTTCATTTCCTATCACAGAGTTTATATCGATAATCTCAGATGAACTAACAAATAATGATTTCATTGAGATAGAACTGTCTTGGTTCTTTCTAATAATGATATGTTAATCGATTTAAATATTATGTAAAATATTTGTCTATGTCGTCTGGTAAAAAAATTTACCGTGTAAGTGTTCATATAACAAATTTATGTCTACCTAGCTATTGCTACAATACACTCTGACGTGTTAATTAATACATAATTAACAAAATACGTGTTAAAGACTACAATAATAGGTCGGTATGAAAAAACTAACCGCAACAATAACAACATGTGTCATTACGGCGTGGTGATTGCGATAGCCCTCGATTTGGGTGTGGGGATGCACCCCTACTGGTAGGCGTTCCACTCCGACTAGGATTTCCTGGTTGCTGTCGAATAACTTGGTCTTTCTGTGGCATATTATAAAAGTTTACTCTTATATAAACTTTTATATACTTGAACGTCGAGTGCACGAACTAATTATCCAATCAAATATGTTTCCAACCAATTTATCAAGCTGGGCGGTGTACTTTACAAGTATTCATTTATTTGTGAACAAATTTCCATAAAATTGTTAGCTTTTGTCCTTGATAGGTTACTTTTCACATAGTGAAGGGTACTTAATGACCAAAACTCTTGGAGTACCAATTGTAAGTAAATCCGATCATATGACAACATCATTAGTACAGGTGAACCATCCAGGAAAACAACTGCT